AACACAGTCGACTCTGTCTTAACCCATACCTGTCATAACCCATAACCTGTAATAACCCATAGGCTTCCACCAACATGGTAGATAGTGAAAACCCATAAGTCTGCCGTATCCCATAACCCATAGCTTTTTGGAGGGTCATAACCCATAAAACAACCTATATTGGGAAGGTACAGGTCTGCTTCCCACGAGAACCTGGACCATCTGGACCCTTAATTTTTGGTTCTTAACCCATACCAGACTCAAGATTCCGTATCTAAACGTTGTCATAAGCGACGTCCGGCCTATACCGGATAGGCTGTCTGTCACGCTTACTAGGTAGTCACACAGTGTCACACGTGTTGGTAACAATAACTTTTGGGTTCCACGACCCGTTATGGGTTAAGACAGAGTCGACTGTATATCTGACGTCGTAACATAGGAAGACCGATGCTTCCTCTCCGACTTACAAGGGTGTCCCCAGGCCAGACAATGACTCCTTCATTCTGGATTACTCTCTACAATAAATGAATATGCGAAGGACGTCGCCTCAAACTGGATATCAATCTACCGCGAACGAATGCAATCAATGTTTTTCTACGTTTCGCTTGCGTAGTTCTATCCACCGGTACGGTAGAAATGACTCTTCCCCCCATCCCAGATCATGTTTAATTTAGGATGACTCAGAGTTTCTAGCACTACAGCTACCCAAGGTTGAACCGGCTACTCGAGAGTCAGGGTCCAGTTCGACCTTCGCAGGAAACCGCAATTTGGGATATCAGCAACGTCGTCCAAACTCTAGCGCGGCTCAGCGGGCAACCTTCTCAAGATCATTTCCAAACTTTGCACCGGCTTTTCCTAATTCTATGTTCGACATTTAGGCCACTCGCTCCGCGTCCTCCCATCCCCCTAAGTGTACCAGGTTCTCTCCGTGGACTTGCTTCCCGAAAGCAGTGAACATCAAAGGTCTATTGGGCTGCTCTGGACCGTCGAACGCAACTATGGGGTTCGTCCTTTAGCAAGTTTCTGGTCTGCTTCCGCCTTCGCCCATATGTCCCCATTGGTCTCGCCAATCTCTTAACCATCGGCAGTACGATAGAGCCAATGAAGTCGCGAAGGTAGGTCTCATCTAACTGATTATGGCTTAACGGCGACAAGACCATTGGCTAGAGTGGCCGACACGTAAATACGTAGATCATGTACCTTATCGGACGGTCATCGTGCGCTTGACCTGTTATAGATCAAGCAGCATATGACTTCTGGTCGTCCGTGTCCATAGATCAAATTGGATATTGGTGAGCAACTTTGGTCTCACTCTGCGTCGTCTGCTTCTTGGATTAATCGGCCACATGACCGAGAAGGAAGCGGTTGTGGGCCCTCTAGAGCTCGACGCAGGCCTGACCACCGCAGAGGGGCCGGCAAGGTCCGATTTTCATTCCTCGCAGACCTTCATGTGCAGTTCTATTTTTTGAGTGTTACACCACGCACGGACTGGGAATCCCGTTTTCTTTGCCTTCGAGCACGGCTGGCTCTAGCCTTCCCCCATCAGTCCGTCCTGGGATCTCTTCCATCTTGGTTTAACAGCTCTTTTCCGAGGATGGAAGATGGATTCCCTTTTATCCAGCGGACCGCAGCCGTAATGAGGGATCCAACGGAGACGCTGATCAAAAGCAAGAAATGAGACCCCACGGCGTCCACCTCCCCATTCGCTAGGCTGGTCGATCGGACCCGCAGCCATACACTGGTGACGCAAGAGGAGCCAACTATCACAAGGAAAAGATAACTTATGCAATAATTGGTGTTTTCTATTGCACGGTGGGGTCCGGGATGCGGACGGATGACCTACTCTCTACAGAGGAGTTCTTTGAGACTAACAGCGAGTCAACTTCCATGCTTCAGCTGTGGGGCCGTAGAGACGGGCGCAAAGCCCCTCGAGTGCCTGTAGACAGCGCTCCTTCTGTACATATAAAGTTGATTTGGACATAACAACCTGTTAGACTTCAAGCGCGAGTCATAATAGATCAATCGCTGTTGATATCTTATCTATGATATTGCCTCCACGAATCATATAAATGGGAATATACAGCATAATGATGCACAACGTACTACCAGAAAGGCTAGAGGTCCATTACATCCTAGCTTTTATTAACTTCGTCATAGACGAGGGGTCTAGCACGGATTGCGGGTAGGGAAGCTGCGTCGGTCGCAGATGCTCAGATGCTCCGTCGACTGCGATCACCTGCCCCGAGATGAAGCTAGCAGCATCACTAAAGAGAAATATGGTAGCATTAGCAATGTCTTTGACATCGCCCCACCGCCCAGCGGGCATTGGTCCCATGCTGCCGTTAGCTTCCTTCGGCGTCAGACGGTCCGCGCCTTCGGTTCCTGCAATGGGACCTGGAGCAATGACATTGGACCGCACTCCATGCGGGCCTTCTTCGACTGCGAGGACAGCTGAAGTGGCGTCTACCGCAGCTTTGGCAGCGGAGACGTGCACCTGGTAGGGTGTACCTAAGGAACGATCGCTGTTGGACGACATTCACATGTAACACGGCGTATACTGCACTCACCTCGGTAGTGTAATGTGGCACTGACATGGATATAGGACCCTTTGCTCGCTCGAACATGCGGCAAGGTGGCTTTGATGGTATTGTACGTGCCAAGCTGTGACGAGAGCTTAAGGCTTGCGAGCTTTCCGAGGACGTAATACTACCTACCGTGTCAATCTCTATAACCGTTTTAAAGCCATTCTCAGACAATCCTGAGATAGGCGCCAAGAAGTTGCCCGCAGCGCCTGGACAGAGCTTTAGTCCCCTGCAACACCATGGTCGGCCCGAAGGGGAGAAGGCCTACCGCATATGACAAAGTCGATTCTCCCAAATTTCTCGATTGTTTTTGCGACTGCTTCTTGGATCTGTTTCGGATGTCTTACATCCGCCTGCGCCGGCAGACACGTCCTGCCCGTTGCTCGGGACAGCTCCTCGGCGGTCTGAGTGAGGCGCTCTAACCTATCAGGTCATAAACTTTCAGATGAGACTCCTTGAAACACTAGCATAACTCACTTTCGTCCGACTATGACGGCGTCTGCACCATGACGCATCTTATACACCCGGTCCTTCAAACGAAGGAGTTCATTTGAACACTAATGACTTACCACTGCCTCCGTCATGCTTTTACAGATCCCCGAGCCTCCACCCGTGCAAAATAAGACCTTCCCCTTAAAGATATCATCCTTGAAGACCGCATCAGAGGATACAATAGGTTGAACGTATGCCATAGTTCAGCACAGATGGACAGAGGAAACGCAGCCAAGTGCGTCGCTGTCCGATCAAACGCGGGGTGGCTGAATGCGGGGTCCGGTCACTTCGGATAGCCGGTACCGGTCAAGGACTCTAATTACGTAAGCACGTTCGGTAAACAATACGCCGGGTACAAGCGGAAGGCAGGATGATCGTAAGGCGCAAGACGGGACAGGGAGAAGGATCGAATCCCAGGACGCGTAGAGTCGTTTGCTACTGTAGAGAAGTTGAAGGTACTGTGGCCGGAAATCCTCTCACTGTTTCCCCCCTCTCACGTGGAGCTTGAGGCCTTCGTAGCCACCGCTCGCAAGTGTGGGCGCAGAGAACGTTCCGGCTATAACACTTCCGGGTAGTGCAGGTTAACAAGGTGACGAGTCGAATACTTTTCCCGAAGAGGGAGCAATAAAGGTTGAGGTGTGGCCTCCAGCATCAAGCGTTCTCCTTACCATGACTGTGACTGGCGGAGTCGGGCCGCCAGTGCACTGGCGTATGATATTGTGCCCGGGCGAGTGTGGCACAGCTACCAATATGCCTAACCACTCACAGTGTAGTGGGATATGCATTCTACATTTGTACCTTCCGGGAAGATATGACGCGGATATAGGGGTAGGGCGGCCTCCTCCAGATGGCAGTCGGGGATGTCCTTCATTTTGTAGGTAGTTTTCCTGGCTCGCTGGCATTGACGGATTTCTCACTCTTCTTTTGGAGCCAAAGGAATTCAACCTCATCGGAAATGTGTGTCCCATGTTTCAGACGCGGGTCCTCGAAAAATGCTGACTTGGTGCCACATTCCCGCACCCGAGTCATCAAGGCTAAATTGCTAATAAGGTTATCACCCCAAGAGAAATGATCAATTCAGATGGGGTCTGCGTTCGGTATGTCCATATGTAGGCGTCATCTCTATCAATATCTGATGACATGCGGACGGCATCCTTTATGTAACCCATCATCGCAGATAATCCTGCAGTCAAAATCCAAGTCTGCCGTGTAAGTGACGCTTGGAGACCTAAGCGACTCACCAGTGTCTATTGGTCCCTAGGACAGCACGATTTGGCGTTCCAAGACGTTCGCGAAACTTTTTACGAGAATAGTCGCAGAATGTCAGCAAGTATCCTCTCCTTCCCGCTGAGAACACGAGGGAGTCATGTGCGAGACGTGGGATAGGCCGTTGCAAGGCCGCAGCGTGCCCAACACTTCTCCTCACGGGTCCGTGGAGGATTAGGGCACGATGTCGGCTTTAACGGCCTATTCTTGCAGGCACTCTGTCTTCTCGGCCGGCTCTCACAGGAGGACAAACAGCAACGAGCACTGACCCAATGCTCGCGCAGTTGCCTTTCGCCCTTGGTTGCTTTCCCCGACGGTAAAAAAATCGCACGGCCCAGAGAATATTGGCATGGCGTCTAACTGCCTTAGGTCAAGCAGCACGTCCCCGCCCCCCGCCAGCGGAGCCTTTGTATCACCGAGAGCTGTCTTATTCGGATACCCGCGTCTTGATCAACAAACACTATCAAAGACAAGCTCTGCCCGACAGCCACGCCAGGCTTTCTCTCTACCACGCTCAGCCGCACCTTATCGTGCCTCGCCCCTGCTGTCACTCAGATCTGCTTCACTGGCTTCATCTCCGACCGCCGAGCGCAGACGCAGATCATTGCGCGCTTCTTGCACGTTTCATTTGGAATTCGAGCGGACAAATTGAGCTGGCATGTCAGACGCAGGCATCGTGAGCGCTTACAGCTGACTCTGAAGCACTCGCCGTGCCCCACCCCTCATCACATCGACCAGCACGGGGACAGTCGCGCTGCGGGTGGATCTCTCGCTGGATACTATACGTCTAGACTACTGTCATGAATAGACGCTCGCAACGGACCTCGCAGCGGACGCGAGAGCTCTCACAACGGGCATCGAGACAGTTCACGTCTGACATTGCCGAAACCATCCTTCACAGAAACCGCGCGGAGCACGGCTCTGCCATAATATACATTCACACTACATACAGCGGCGGAGCACTCTACTTCCTGCAACAAATGTCCAAGAAATTGAACTAATAAATACGCGATGCGGCGCACGCATTCGATGGCTGTACAGTGAACGGTCTTGCAGGATAATAGCTACAGGTGCGGGGGAGACAGACGATCAATGCGAATACATACATACATACAGCTTGACGACGAGAGCAAGTGGCAGGCGGGCGGTCACGAATGTACAAATGCCACGCACGCATTCTGGTGCCGGCACGCGGTGAGAAGGTAGTCCGGACGGAGAAATTTATGAGTCGCCTACTCTATCCCGATCCCAGTATCCCATGTTCGAGGACGGCCCGGATGTCGGCGCAGGCGCGTTCATGCTGTGGATGTTTTGGTGGAGGCTGTAGGCGGGCATCGAGTGGATGGACGGCAGAGGGCGGGAGAGGGTCGATCGACCAAGAGTATCGGCCTGCCCAGGAATATACGAAGTGCCGGACGACCGTGCGTAGCTGGAACCGTCGTACGGACTCCCCGTATTACGCCCTAGATATGAGTCCTCCTGGGAAGACGGGCCGGGAAAGTACTGCGGGCTGCCCGCGTGCGGTGTACCCTCGTCCAAGCCGGGTGTCTGGGGGTAGAAAGGCGAGTTAAGGGTCGGGAAGGAGCTGGTTTGCCCGTGTCCGGGGATGACACCGCTGGACGCGCTAGACGAGTCGGACGAGATGGAGCTCGACCAGGAGCGAGGCGAGTAAAGATCCTTCGAGCTCGCGAGGGGCGACAGCGACGGCTCCTGCTGGGTGCTGAGACTCAGCGACTGTGTAGTCGACCAGCCAGGGGCGCGGCCTTCTACTCGGCTGCCCGTCCAGGACTGGCCGACGCCATGGTCCTGATATAGGGGCGGCGACTGCGAGTGCCCAGCAATGTGCACTTGGGACGGATAAGAGTGAGTGTTCGGGACGGGCGGATTGGTGTACTGCGGTGCGCCGTATTGTCCGGTAGGACTCTCGTACGAGCCATAAGGGCCCGCGCGCGGGAGGAAGTCGTTGCTCTCCTCCTTCGTGGGCGGGTACCCCGTAGAGTGACCACGCGAATATTGCAGTTCAGGGCTGTAGCCTAACCCGTCTTCCCCCTCGACAGGAGAATGGTCCTCCCAGTCCGCCGCACCCAGAAAGTCGTCCCCACCGTCGAACGATGCGGAGTCAGGGAGGCGGTTCATGCCGCCGTCCGTCCGCCGCTTCTTACGCGAGTTATTAGGCCTGCGCCGGTACACGTAGTCGGGATATTTTGCGTTGAAGTTGTCCTTCAGCTTTTTGGCCTGGTCGAGGTAGAACTGCTTGTCCGACTGTATTCTTACGAGCTGAGCCGACGCGATCCACCCTAGCGAGCCATGCGGCGACGTACCATCTCCATCGCGTTCCACTCCCTGCTCAGAATTTTGCTGATATCGCCGGTGCGCATCGTCTGGTTCGCGGCGGAGACCTCGGGGCGCCGCTTGCGCGCGAAAATCATGAACGCGTTCATGGGCCGCTTCGGCGTCCCGTCCGCGTTCAGCGACTGGGAGGTGAGCGCAGCGTGCATGTCCTCTTCTGGGAAGAAATTCAATCGGGAAATTCAGAGCGTGTAGCGAGCACTAACCCGACACCTCGAGCTCATGTTTCGCTGTGCTGTACGGGGAGTAACCCGAGCTGCCTTCCGAGCCAGAGAAAGAATCGTTCCTGATGCGTCTAATGTGCTCTGAACTAGGTTGGTCGGGCGCGGGAATTGCCGGATTCGGTAGCGCGCGCTGCATGCTGGGCTTGGAGTGGAACAGCGGTGCTCGAGGGCGTGGCTGACGACGAGGAAGCGGTAGAAAGAGCAGAAAGCAAAGGAGAGGGCAGTTGGTGGCGGCTGGGCAGCCCCCAAATGCAGCGAAGGCTGGCGGGAGTGGCAGAGTCAGGCAAGTTGCGGTTGATCGGCGGGGTAAGTAGCGGGTCTCAGATCGCTGTCCAGAACCGGTCTATAAAGGGATGCGTGGCCAGACGAACGCGCAGACGACGAGCGCGAGTATTTTGCTCGCTACCGCGTCCGAGAAGTGTTTCTTGAGGGATTTGACGTAGCAGCCAAGGAAGAAGAGCGCGCAGGACCAGGCTTCCGTTGCAGACTTACTCATGAGCGGCGCGCGCCAGTTTGGCGGCGTGGTGCGCTTGCAGAAGGCTGGCCGCAAGCAGAGGCCGTGTTCCCTTTCGCTGTTGACCTCCGCACCGACTTACAGGCACATCGGACACAGCCCAAAAGTCTTCTGTGCTTCGCCGGATCTTTCGAATTTTCCAGTCACCCAGACCCCCTGCCGTGCTCGATATGGGCGGGAATCCTCGCTGCCTCTTTCGGCAAGGCCTCGACGCCTGGAATGACCACGGAGCCCCCAACTGACCCAGTCCCATGATCTCAAGCCGGGTAATTACCAACATAGCCCGCCAGACCGCCAATCTCCTGGCCGGGCCACCACCGGATGCTCCCGCCACAAATCACCCTGTGCGGCCTCGGACGGTATTAGCGCGCTCGAGCGCAGAACCTGACAGACACCCACAGATCAGAAAGGGATCTCAGCGGCCTCTTTCCTTGCCCCTTGCGTCGAAATGGAAGCCGTCGAAGCGCCCTCTGTAATAATACGAGCCTCTGATCGTGCTCTTCGGGACCGCGCCTCATTCGAGTGCCACAGCTCCTGCACCCCTTTCTGTGCCACACATAGGGGAATCCTCTCTCAACTGCGACGCCGTCGGCCACACTCATTTCCACTGCGCGGTGCCCGACCACATCCGGTACGTAACCTGCGTCGGAACTACTTCCCCGCGGCATCTCCCGCTTCTTGTCCATAAGCGAAGTGTCCGCGACGCTACCAGACACGCTAAATAAGGTTTTCATCACGAGCCTGAGAATGGCGTCCGCGACTCTGGGGTACGGTACGCTGCAGCGAATTATCGTCAACTTTATTTCGAGCTTGTACCGTCACCGCTCGCCATCCCGCTCGCGTTACAAACCTCTCTCACGAGGGTATCATCGCGATCTCACCTCGACGTCGCGCGAGGGATTCGAAGGGGCTGCCCCGGAAGGATCGCAGGGCGCAGATTTACGGTTGACCCGGAGTGTCAGGTCTATTTTGCATTTGCACTTCGCACTTGCGTTTGGCTGAGGGCACGCCGTGAGTTCGAATCCCGCTGAGAGCAACGGGCAAGGGGCCGTGGGAACGTCCCGGATACTGCCGTACCCCTGTTGTCACTGTGCTCGACGTTGCCCGACGCGTTGTCGACGATGTCGACGAAGGTTGTGCTGAAACTCCCAAACAAATACTGAAAAAATTGCAATCCTTCTGAACAGGCATAAATTTGCAACTATTAGGGTGTAAATGTCTAGAAATGTATAGGTGTTGTATGAAAGTTTGCCCTCGAAGAGTGTGCTGGATAGTGTGGCCATATTAGATTTGTCTTGTTGAAGTTCATCGTGGGTCGCGTCACAGATACCACACCACCGCATTTATTCTGCCGCTATTTGTACTCATCCACTGTCCATGCAGCATTTGCAGCTAACAGAGCACACATGTTGCTGAAGCCCGCAAGGCTGGCCAAGGGTGTGTGGCAGACGCCACAATTTCCTTCCCACACTTGCCGACTACCTAATGCGGTAGCAGGTCGGGACTGTCGAACATGTGTGTGTTTAGGGCTGCTCAATTCTCAACTGGCTCCCGTCGTTCAAGCCGTCGTTCAAGCCGTCGTTCGTTCAATCGCGCGATGGCTGATGATTCGAGACCACGTCCATGTGATTTGTCTCTCCCAGCTTGCCACCGGCGTGGCTCGGCCATCTCTTCTTTCTCATTATTTTTAGCACGACGGATTGAACGAACGAACGAACGACGGGAGGTAGTTAAGAATTGAGCAGCCCTTTTGCTCCCTTGCAATTCGCCACGACGCGTTACTAGTAGTATAGGGGGAATGCGCAACGGCGTCGGATATAGATTAGTTTCATTGACATTGGCGCGCACATCAATGCTCCCTATCTCAATTGTAGAGTTTGTCTTAATATTGAACACACCTCTTGACTTGCGACGTTGAATGTGCAACGACTTCTCGCATAGCTCCTCAAATGAACAGAATAATTGATATTAAATAGGTTGGTACAGTAAGCTCAGAAGGAACCAATTTTTTCCGTGTATTTTTAGGAATAACCATCACTTAACATTTGTCGACATCGCCGACAACAGCGTCGACAACGCGTCGGGCAACGTCGAGCACAGGGACAACAGGGGTAGGGCAGTATCCGGGACGTTCCCACGGCCCCTTGCCCGTTGCTCTAA